AATATAATATAAGTAATATAAATATTTTGACAATCCTCTTAATATTCACTATAAATGTAAAAGTAGTCGACACTAAGAAGAGGAATGAAAGCTTACCTATTGACATCAGATAAGCAAGCGTTGAAGCGATCAAGTAGAGAAACACTACGCAGTATAAGCGGAGCTTGCGAGTCAGCTAGAGACGAAGAACGAATCGGGGTTTTAGGAGCTGCTGAAATGCTAGTAGCTGTATTCCTAATGAGAGTGGAAATGCAGTTAAACACCTCTAGGCGTACAGTTTCCTCACGTTCTGATGGGAAATAGAAAGAATTTAGAAAGGAAAATAAACAACTTTACATTTGTGTGCAAATGCATATGATTTGCAAATATAATGAAAATAATAATAACAATAACATAAAAATAAGTGGACTAGTTTTTAACAATTTTATAAAAAAAGACCCTCAGACGTGAATTGTATGTGAGGGCCAAAGGTAAATCGCTTAAGGAATATGCTTATATATGCCATTCTAAATGTATTCTATAGACAGTGCTAAAAACAGGATAAATTCCTAATTTATCTGAATTAATAAGTGTCTCTGAATTAACGGGCAGAAAGGTGATGTTCATGGAGGTTAAACAATTCAAATTACACATTCATTGGCTGAATACAGTATATAAAGTTAATATGGCAACAATGCAAGAATCCACACGGAAAATTTAAAGAAAACGATTCATCTTGAAAATTAAGTCATTTGAATAGCAACATCTCGAAAGCTGCCTAAGCTAGCCATGTAGCAATTAAGACATTTAATTAATTCTGGATATTTGTAAGTGTTTCTGAATCATTAAATTTTAATTAACTTGGAGAATTAAATTTCAAAATCCAATAACATAGGAAACTTGGAATTTTAAACTAGGGGGATGGCATGCCTCCGTAGAATAGTAGTATGTCGTTTTAATAAATATATAGACCAGATAGATCTAGAAGGATCACCGAATCTGAAGTATAGTATATCAAGCCAACTTCATTAAAAGATAGAATAGCATCATCATCTCACCTCGGTTGGCAAATCTCTACATGAAAAATTAGGGGAAGAATTTCAAAATTTTAACTCAGCATCCAACAGTAATTATGCGATATTTGGATCGCTATTTCTCAATCTGGTCATATAGAAAGAAAAATTAGACGATTTTCTCATCTCCTTAAACAAGATAAATTAAAAAGTCAAATTTACAATGCATGTTGAAAAGAACGGCATTAACCTTTATTAATATGTTAATGCTCATAATTTCTCATTAAGGATAAAGTAAAACTTCATGATTCAGAGGCATATAGAGTAAACTGTCATGAACA